AGCTGTGCTTTAGTGAAGTTCCGTCGCATTCAAAAAATTTAAATATCTTTCAGTTCATTTGAAAGAATGATTTGCACTGGATAGTAATGGAGTAAATGTTTTCAAAACTTGCAGAATCTATTTTGGTGAAGATTTGTATATGTGGGTTGGTTTTTTTTTAAACAGAGATGATTATTGCGTTTCATGTTTATGAAAGGAATGTTGTGTGGCATCATTTTTTTTCTCTAATATTTCTTAATGGGATAGATCAGCCCAAATTCTGCATAGATAGGAATAAAAGCTTGTGGTCTATCTCAATTATTTGTTCTTTACGGTATCTCTAAAAGGCCTTTTATTCTACTGCCTGAAGGAAAACAAAACCCTTTCTCCGTAATTGTCACCATAGATCTCAGCTGCTCTTTCTAACTCCATCCAGGCGATGCTTAATTTGACTTGGAACTGTTCTTATTAATACAATGTATAATAGTAGGAATATAATATATTTAATGCTGTTCTGGAACTTGAAACTCCAGATCAAAAATTGATAAAGCAATTTTTTTCTTACATTAAGTGGTTTTCCTTTGTTTCCTCAGGATGCTGGTAAAAACATTCTGCTCTGCCTCATTGATTCTGTTCATGAGTGTACATGTCACTCTGTGATAATTACACATGTGTAACCACGTGCAGCCATCCACAGGGAAAGGGGGCGGGTTCCAGCCCTAACCCAATCAACTCAATCAGACGCTTTAAAATCATTAGGTAATGGCTCTCTGTGTTGGCAGGCATCCAGATGGTTTGCCTCACTTTGTTTTCACATTTCTTTTTTTTGAACACCACACATTTTGGTCTCCAAAAAAAATTGTCAAAAATACTAAGGAAGGGAAAATTAAATGTGAATGGAAACATAATTCGATTGCACTTCTGTTGCACATTTTTTTCACAGGCAACAGCCAGCACTAGGCATGTATGACAAGTCTGTACATTCAGCGACTTGCTCAATGTATGTATTTTGCATGAGGACGGACTGTGTGCTCAGAGCTGTGGGGGTACACAACGGGGTGACACACACCTCTTCTGGAGGGAGATGGGACAGCAGTTATAATAGGAATCCAGGCAGGATGTGGGGAAATGCCATTGATTGTAACATGCAATCCATGGCCCCTTGACCACCCTCACTCCATTGGGCCACCTGCAACCTGGGACAGGAGTGACCACATGGTCTCTGCCTTCTGGAAAGAAACACCCTTGTCTTGGTTCCTGCTGCACTGCCCCAGGCTACCACCAGCCCATTAGGTATCTTGATCACAGGTAGGCACCCTTTCCTGCGGACTGAGTATCGGGCAGAGGTGGCCCCACGGATCGCCATCCCTTTATAGCTTGGAGGGTGGCGTCAACACTAGATTTCCATCCTCACTTGCCCCACCCCCACCCCAGGTCAGGGGTCCTTGTACTAAATACAACTTGTGCAGTGAATCAAATTAATAGGAAAAATCATGGCATTCTCCTCTAGGCTCATTTTGTATGGGACTGCAGCCCCCAGGGAACAAGTCTTCCTCCAGACTAAAGCCGGAGGGGAGAGCAGTGAGTAGCCCTGGAGAGCCAGTGCCCAAGAAGTGCTCCTCCTGGTGCTGGTGAGGGTCTCAGAACCTCTTCCTGAGCTTTTGCTCAAGAAGTTGGTAACCATGATTCTGGCCTTGCTTGTGGCTAAAATACATACATACATAAAATTGAGAAGAAATGACTCAGATTTTAAATTTGCTAGACCTCGATTTTACCAGCTATTTGACTTTGACCTGATTTTATTCCTTTTAAGTTCCATTTTCTCATCTGTAAAATGGGGCTGTTAATAGTATTTCATAGGTTTAGGGTGTGGGTGAAATATGATAAAAAAAATTGGTGTTTTCAGTGCAATTTTGCTTTTTCAGTAAATGGAGAAGATCTCATTTAATGTTATCACTGTCTCAGGTCACTTTCTGACTTTTTCCCACTCTTTGATACCATTCCCTGAGGCCTCCCACTTTTCCTGTATTACTGTTACTTTTCTCTTAGTCCCCAACATCTGTGCCTAATTCCTTTCTTAGAAGTTCATGTTCTGCTATGATTTTTCAGGAAGGGTCTCTCTTTTTACAGATATGAAAGCTGAAAGTTTTAGTTCACTTTACATGACAACTGAAGTCTCATAGCAAGCCAGGGACGACTTCAGATTTTATTTTGTATTTTAGGCACCTCTGTCCAGGTGCCTGTTCTGACTGCATTTTTTAGAAGTCTCCCCACCCCCATCCACCCAGAGAGAGGAAACAAAAGGATAAATGTCTCTTCCCAGCTTGCAGCAGGTGTCATTCTATTTGATTTGCAGGCCTTTCAACGAAACAAAAGGCCTCTTCTGTTCTTTTACAATATATGCTCTCTTTAAAGGTACTCGAATGAGGGGAAAATCCTACGTTGGACACGATTTCAGGTTCTAATGGATAGAAACTAGGCTCTCGGTTGCTGATTCACTCTTCACAGGGAAAACTAGATGCCATTAAAAACATTCTTTTCTAAATAGCATTTAAAATGTTATGATCATTTCCTCTTGAAACACTATATATGAGCGGCATTCTCAGCAAATTAAAATGTTTAGAGTAGGACTGAAAACTTCTAAAAGCCAGTTAAGATCTCTTTTATAAAGTCAACAGAGAGAATCTGTCTGCTTGAGACAGTGTATCTCCAACTTGCTCTTCTTAGTTACCATTGGTGTTCAAAAGTGACAGACCTCACATAGTACAGAACTGTATGTTACACTGAAAAATTCTATTCTGGAGTCCCTAAGAAAGAGTGCACAATAAATATCAGAGTAGCTAAAATGTGGGTGTTTACTGCATGCAAAGACTATGCTGAGCACTTTCATTCATAATGTCATTTACACTCTTTCCAGCACTATGGTCCCTATTTTACAGATGAGCAAACTAAGGCTTAGTGTGGTTAGTAGCTTGCTCTGCGTCTGATAGCTAGGAAGTTCTGATGAGTTCTGAGAGTCATTGTGCTCATTAACTCCCAGGCACTCCGCAGCCTCCCTGTTCATTCTTTGCCATCCACAGTGGGGGAGGCATCAGAAAGGGGGTGTGGATGTTGGGTTTTGTTTTCAGATGTAATAGCCGTTTTGGTAAATCCTTTGGGTCCTGTTTCCCCTGGAATCCATATAGTCAAAGTACAGGTGATAAAATTAGCTCATCAACTCCAGCCTGCGTGTAAATGAAACAAGTCAATCTAATGAGACTTCATGAGAAGAAAGTGCTGTGAGTGGAGGTGGAAATCTTAGTGGTGGAGGGCTTGCCTTTTGTGTTAGTGTAAGGAGTTGGAGAAGCTCGTTATGTTGATGGTGTCGAGGGCATTTCAGGAATATCCCTAAAAGTTCTCTTTAGTGTTGAATTTTTACAAAGGTGTATTGTACTCTTTCCTTGCCATTTCTCAAATCCACTGTTAGTCTAGGAAGTCCCATTTGTGTGTTGATTTTGAGTGGGGGAGGTATGCCCAACGATTTTTATGTGAAATAATTAATATGGCTTATTAATCCCTTTGGAAAATGTTCATCATAAATGTATTGGGGAGGGAGGGAGATTGGTGGTTTAACAGATGGTCAGCCAAGTCCCACCCACTCAAAGGTAGCCTGTCAAAATAAAGTACTCTTGCTTAATCCCTAGTCAAGCTAAATGATACCATGAAACAAAGCTAACCGAAATCAGGACACCTGATAGCAAGATTTCATAAAGTAAAAAGCCATTGTGCAGTAAGGAATAGAATGCTTTTGCTTCTTATCTTTTTAATACAAATAAAAGCAAGCTTCATTGGGCTCGGGAATTCTTAGAAAAGACAGATTTGAAAAGCAGCTCCATCGCGGAGCCTGACATTCTGTGAATAAGCCTAAACCGTTTGTACCGTCCCCTTTGGATGCACAGGCTGGGGCGGCGGAGCCCCTCCAATGCCAGCATTTCTGGGAGGGAGAGGCACAAAG